CTTGAAGCGGAACAAATCTGAACATGGTGATTAAAATTGTAAATCTGCACTCAGTGTAATTGTCCCTGACAGTAATCTGAAAATGTCTTTTACATCATCTATCAAGTGAATGAGCCAAAGATACGTTTTTTTCTGTGGATATTATAAGTTTCAACCAGTGGTGAGGAAGATCATTCCAGTGGGATGTTGCTCTGGGTCTGCTGGATGTGTAAGTCATGTTGGAAAGTTGTTTGCTGTCTCATTACCCGTAGGACGTTGATAAGTTGACATCCTAAATCAAAGCTTGCATTTGTTTCTGAGGCCAAAATGTACCTTATGCTCATGTGTCATGTCACTACTTTTCATGGTCAGGTAAGTCTTCTGTGAGACGCCCACACAACCGTGCACGAACATCCATACAAGCCATTCAACCATCAGATGAATGAACACCAAGCCCCATTTCTCCCTAATTGCTTTTGAAAACATGTCGGAGAGCTGAGCAACATGGGCAATGACAGCTCCCGGTGTTTTCCTAAGGGACTAAGTCAACAAGCACAGACAGTGACATGAAAGAGCTCACACACCTCTGCGGTTTTGCTCACTCACACGGACGACCAATTGATTAACTCATAAATCATCCTCATTCAGGCCCCGGGCCCTGGAGCGCCCCTTCACCTCCTCCACCTCCACCAACACTCCCCCCCCCCCCCCCCACCCAAAAAAAGAAAAACGCCGATGAGAAGCTGCAGCCCAACCCTGCACCCTCCAGCTAAGTAAGTGGAGGCGGGATGTTTCAGCTCATGGCAGAAGCCCAGCAGGAGGGAGAGGCCAGGTGGGGCAGGTACAGCCGGTGCTACTGAGTAAAAAAAAAATTAAGGTGGGGTCATGGAAACGACAGGTATAGGATTTGTATGTGTTATTATACGGACAGGGAAGGATGTAGAAAGAAAACACAGAGGGGCTTAAAGAGGGATACAAATGTGTTAAAAAGACAAAGGAAAAGATCTGAATGAAACGCTGTGTAGTGCTGCCAAAACAGAGAGAAACGGGGGGAGACAGATATGGAGAGAAAGAGGGAGAGAAAGCATTGAGGAATGCCGTAAATCCCAAAGCGACTGAACAATCCTCTGGAGAAAGAAAAGAGGAATTTTTATGTGCTGCAGGTGAGCAGAACAGAGAGGGAAGAGGAGACGAGGAGATAGACAGATGGAAAAAGAGGGAGAGGACGCGGGGGTGGCCGAGGGAATTTGTGGAAAGCTTGAAAGGGTTTGATTGTAGCAGACAAAAAGGGACACATGGGGTGAAAATGAAGCAAAAGTGACAAGAAATGACACAAAATGGCTGCTCGTGCAGTTAGAGAGAGGATGGCATGTGGACACGGTGAAAAAAGGCAGAAAGACATATGGAGAAAAGATTGGGAGACCAAAAAAAAAAAAAGGATAAGTAGGAGAGAGACAGCCAGACAGACAGGGAGGAAGAGGAGGTCCGAAAACGAGCGTATCTGGGAATCTTAAAGGCATACACGGCTTTTTGGGAGATTGGTCAGCTTCAATGTTGAGATGTTGAGAAGGAAGATTACCTTTGATAGGCAATAGATTCTTCATTTGTTTGGCCAATTGACAGATTTATCATTACTTTAGTTGTTAATTAATATTTTCAGGTGCTTTGAAAGAGAAAGTGTACTCCGGTACATGTCACCGCATTTATACCAGGCTACTTTTGTTACTTTCTATAATACAACATTTGTTCTGTGATTCCCAACATGAGCACTGAGCCACTTCTTAAGTGTTAACAGGTGTTTTACCTCTGCATCCAAGCACTCAGAATGTACAAGCAAAACCGCTTTTAACAACTTATTTTAGGTTTTTGTTTCATGATATCTTCAATGTTTCTCAACATGAAAACCAGCGAGTCTTCCGTATAGATAAATGGTAGTATAGGTTTAGATTGTGGCCATCACTCTTATATACCCTCCTTTTAATCCCACCGTGGAGAAGAAGACTTTCGGCAGCATGAATCAGAGCTGTAACAAATTACAACTGCCTCATCATTGAAACTAGGAAAATAACATGATACCACAGTCGCCAAGCTCCTTCAAAATTGACTCAGTGGACTGCTGAATATTTTTCGACTGTCTACAAAGCATAATCTTTAGCTTCAGATTATTGTTGCTGTTTTACTTGCGATCAGATGTTCTTACCGCAATGCTTGGAATTAATTCTTATCTATGACATTTAGTCAGACATAATGTATAAGTCTCAAAAATTGCACAAAGTGATGTCCCGAAATCTCAGACTGAGGTATTGGCAGTTGAGTTGCATTGTGGGTAATAAACTGTATGTGCCAGATTTTGACTGGGAAGACAAATGCGTGGAATAATAAATAAAAAACCTGGACTGGGGACATGGAAGAATTTCATAAATCTTTGTGTTTTTCTTGGACACTATAAAGAGGTGAAGTCTGGAGTGATTGAGCAGGAAAAAAAGAGCAGAAGAGGTGCGCTCCAAGAGCAAATCAAAGATGGCGAGCACATCGACTCCTCTACAGGTCATCAGACGGGCCTTTCTGAGCAGCAGAGGCTATCTCTGTCAGCAGCTGCCCGATAGACCGAACAAGCCAATAATGTCGATGCCTGTCACTGACAGTATCCGTTATGATCGCAGGACTCGCCAGCTGAGTCATACAAATGGGGCTTGGCAATCCTGTTACGTATTAGTTACAGCAATTCGTCTCTGCTTAGCTGACAGAGGGAGACAGACAGAGAGAGAGAGAGAGAGAGAATGCTGAGTGATGGCTGTTAGATAGCTACGCATGACAAGCCTCATTCCAACGAAGTTCTGACACATTGAGATAATGATTCACACACGTGCTGCGCTTGCAAGCCCACACAACAATACACGCACACAGAACAAACCCACACACACAGACTATACAAAGCTGCCTTTGTTGACTACTGGCGGCCCCTCAGTCTTTGCTTACTGAATGTAGAAAACATACAGCGTCTTGTGTGTGTGTGTGTATTTGTGTTAAGTCACGTCTCTGTCAGCGTTAACCCTTTCCCCCACTTAGTGAGAGTGTGTGTGTGTGATGATGTGTCAGCGTTGACACAGACAACCTCCCATAGAAGTCACTTCCTGCTCAGCTAATGCTGCTTTTCAAGGTTCATGTGGGCCATTGTTTGTCAGAACATGGTTCCACATTTGTGTGTGTGTGTGTGTGTGTCAGGGAGGGCGTGCGCTGTTGTGGGCAGGTGTGTACCTCGAAGGTGATGGAAGAGAGATTCTCATTGATCCTTTAATATCTGGCCTCGGGCGAGGAGAGGAGTGAGCTGCAGAGCAGGTGGGGGGGAAAAAAAGATAACAGGCGAGGAAGCGATATAAGAGTTGACATGAGCAAAGACGATAAGAGGCAGAGGCAGTGACAGAGACTGGGAGCGCGGCGGCATTGAAACACAAACACAACAAGAGAGCTGGGCGGTTGGTGGGATTATGGGGGGGGGGTGTTTGTACCTGTGCCTGTTTCATGTAAATCCCTCACTGTCACAAGTCAGAGAGATGTTTATGGGGGGAAGAGGAGCTTCGTGAGATAGTGTGATGAGAATAGAAAGCAAAGTGGGAGGAGGGAAGAGAGAGATGAAAGGAAAAATGAGAGATCGTAAATTTTCACCAGGACAGACAAATAAAAACTCTCTCATACCCCGCCTCTCTTGCTCTACTTTTTGTCATGAATGTGAGCCAGCCTTTGTTTCCCCGACCCCCAAACTCCTCTCCCCTTGTGCCAATCACCCGAAACCATCCCTATAAAACTAAAACCATTGCAAACAAAAATCCCAGAAGCATTTGTTGTTTTTTTTGTCTCCCCTCCCAATGGGCTCCCAAAAGACCAATAACGCCACGCTCTGTACAAAAGCTAGTATTTATTCTCTCTTGAGTTACAATACAGTATATTCACACCGCGGAGAAAAATAAATAAACATCTTGTTCAATAAATATTATAGAGATATGATCCATAACCTTTAGCCACATCATCCAAGCCACATTGTAGATAGATAACAATTGATTTATTCTGGAAAAGAAATGTCATCTGTAAGTTGCCAAAGGAAAAAGTGTCTGATTTCATGTTTTAAAAGACACAAAAGATTCACATCAATGTGTGTAATGTGTTGTGTGTGAGTGTAAAGTTACCTAAAACAATAGTTTGACTTTTTTACGTTCTTTCTGAGAGTTAGAGGAGAAGATTTATTTCCACTCTCATATCTGTCTGTTGGATATGAATGTTGAATGTTAAGTACACATACTCCGACACAACATGACGTGACAGAGGGAGTTACGTGCAGCAACCATCTGTCCAGTACGAGTGTAAAATGAGCACACATTAGTAGTTTTATGGGCCAGATTGTTTCTTAGCTAAAACAGTATCTATGTAAGATCTTACATGTTGATTAGTTTAGAGGTGCTGGAGGTGGGTTTTGTCAGACCAGCTGTTTCCAGTCTTTATGCTAAGCTACATTTCCCATCTTCATATTTTAGTGGACAAACATGAAAGTGGTGCTGATTTTCTCATTTTACTCTCAGCGAGAAAGCATATATGTGTATTTCCCAAAATGTTGAACTACTTCTCCAGAAAACACAAAACTGTGGTATTTTTAGGGAAAATTATTCTATTCTAAAACATTTTAAGTTAAATATTTTTGTTGCTACGGAGTGAAATCATTCAAAAGTGGCACAAATGAGTGTGTGTGTGTGTGTGTGTGTGTGTGTGTGTGTGTGTGTGTGTGTGCGTGTGTTTGACCACCTCTCTGTCTGGACAGTATGTGTAGCGCTGTTGTAGAGTTACTGTAACTGACCAGCCGACTTCTGATTACTCAGCAACACCCCTCTGCCCGTTATTTCCAGTCCTCATCCCCTGACTCACGCCTCCTCCCGTCTTCCTCTCCTCTCCTTGCCTCTTCCTCTCCTCCTCTTCATCCCTCTGGTCATTTCCTCCTCTCCCTTTGTCTTTCACCCATTCAGAAGTGTTCTTCCTTTAGAGAAAGTTTGCTGATTCACACATCTGGAGGTCACTGAATCAGTTTTCACTCAATGGCTGCACTGTTTGTCTCTCTGCCTGTCACTCGGCCGACCCCCTGTGTGCTGTGTGCTGTGTGTGTGTGTGTGTGTGTGTGTCTAACCACCTACAGTGGTATTTCTGTTGATCTATGAGCCGTGAAGTCCGGTAACTCAGCCCAGTCTCAGTGTTTCTTGCTCAATGAGCTGCTATGTGCATCAGGCGGGTGACAGTGCTGGTAATGTGTTGGCTTTATATTCCATTAGTGCGTCTGATGACCTTCCAAATCGTCCTTCATTCACTTATTCCAGTACGGTATGAATGAATGAGTTAAGCATGAATGTGTTAATGTGCTTTTGTCTGTTTAAGCTCTCAATTTGTTCCCACTCAGATTTTGTGCAAACAATAGATTTTCCGATATACTGCACTTGTGTGTCTCAATGTCTCAGCCTCTGAGTCTCTTCTTGAGGCGGTTAAAGTCCTTCGCCGACCGCCACAGCCAACTCTGCAGCTCCCTCAATATCCAAAACCCCTCGACCTTCCGGGCAAAGTCGTTCATTGTCGGCCTCACCGACAACAGCGAGGAGGAGGCAGAGGAGGCGGAGGAAAGGAGCGGAGTTAGAGGAGGCGAAAGGAGGGAGGTGCCCCTTTGTAAAGACAGAGGAACCGGCTGGGAGAGGAGGGTGTGCTCCTCACCTGCTCCAAACTGGTAGAGTAAGGAGAGGGTGGACAGAGGAGGTGGGAGGGTGGGAGTGAGGAGGGAGCGAGGAGGCCGACGCTGATGATGGAAAGTGGAGTAAGGGACCTCCATGTCTGTTTGCTTCTCCTCCTCCACCCTTAACCCTCTGTGGCCCTCCACAATAAATCCATCTTCTTCTCTTAGTGTGTCTGTGTGACGTGAGTTCAGGTTGTAGCTGTATTGATTGTTGTGGGTTTGGATGTTTGGCGGTCCAAGGGAGCCGGAGCCGTCTGTGCCCGGATACGACACTTCTACCCTGGGTTCAGGCTGCCTCTCCTTCTCCTCTCCATCCTCGTTGATACTCAACAATCTCCTCCTCCTCCATCCCTCCTCACCTACGTCTCGCTCCAGCTCCTCATCTTCTTCCTCCCCTATTCTCTCTTCTTCGCTGGCAGACCATTTCCCGCTCTGCGGCTCTTCCCTCCTCACTCTCCTCCCTCTTTCTCCTCTTCCCTTCTCCCTCAATCCGCCAGTCGCTCCTCCAGCTGCCGTCGCGACTGCTCTCCTCCCTTCTCTCCTCCCTTCTCTCCCTCTCCTTTTGTCCACCAGGTCTACGGCGACGCCGGCCTCCCTCTCTCCTCTGACCACCGTCTTCCCGCTCCGTTTTTGGTTGTTCCGCTGACCGGACTCTGTCCTTGTCCCGGCTCTGGACCTGTAAAGGCTCTGGCTCATCAGCGGAGCAGGTCGCTCGCCCCCTGCCCCCCTCAGAGGGTACTGCAGCTCTCCAGCGTTACTCCCCATGTTAGCAGATGGAAGAGGAAGTGCGTAACCGAGGGTGGTCATCAGTGCAGATATAGAGCCCAGCAGCCCGTCAAGGCCTGTGCAAAAGTGCAGCAGGGAGGTCTTGAGGGAGGGGCAGAGGGTGGAGCGGGCCAACTCCCTGACCGCTGACAGCAGGACAGAGTAGGCCTTCTGGTTCTGGGCGAGCCGAGCTTGGTTCTCCAGGCCGTGCCACAGCTCCAGGCGGGTGGCGGCGCTGGGCAGGGACAGAGCGGTACTGTTGGGTCGAGGAGGGGAGAAGTCTTTCTCGTTGAATGGAGGGCCTAGGTAGGTCAGCTGCAGGAGATATACACAAATCAGACGAGAGGATGAGAAGGTGTAATGATAACACTTTCTACTTATATTTAGTTTGGGCGTTCATCATAACACTTTCTACAGCATCCTTGCTACTGTGAAGTTGACGAAGTCCAGAAACATAAGATCAGACAGGTTGTCAATGAGCCGGCAGTTTAGCTGCTAGATTATCTAAACAACTTTATTTGGAGTTTAAACTGAAAGTGAGTGATCCCGTCATGACTGTAATAATACATCAGTATACAGTAAAACTGTGGTAGGTCAAGTACAGTTGATCAAAGTTGAACCAGGAAGTCAACTTCTAAACTGTGATGGATTTTTACATCAATCACTTGGCAATTTGGCTTCATGTTCTCCTCCGAATTAGTTTGGCTAAGTCCCAAATCAACCGTCTTTCAGCTCTGTTTTTGATCTCTACCAACTCCTGAGGGACATATCTGCCTCTTTAGCTGCCTAATTAATTCTCCACTATTTTCACCAGCTAGTCGCTGACTGTATCTGTCTGTCTGTTTGGTGCTGAGCAGGTAGGGTACTCTGGGTTTTAGAGGTTTCTCACTGAAAACAGCTGCCTGCCAGGGGCCGAAAACGACACGATGAGAGCTGAACCCCGCTATACAGCAGAGAGGAGCTGCGGATTCAGGTGATAATTCTCTGTAGGTTGACCGTGAGTGAGCTTTGAAGTTGTCAAATTGTTTTCATGGTACCAACGATACATTGATATTATAAAAACTTTAATGGGAACTCTGAAACAGAATGGTATCACAAAACACGACTCACGTATATGTCTTTGATTTCCTTGAGCTGATACTCCAGGTATTTGGTCAGCTCGTACGTGCTTTCGATCGAGCTCCTCTCACTGGCCAGGTTGTGTGAAGAATCCAGGGCCAACGCCATGGCGGCAGCCAATAGCAAGATGAGCTGGTGTTGATGCACTGTGGAGAAATGAAAAATGATTAAAACTCAGACGGACAGCATGAGATGTTTCTTTAAGGACACTGGCGTCATGGGTGTCCAAGTGATAATTAACACACACTGCAGAGGTATTTGTAATCATAACAAGGAGGTGAAATATATCTCAGCCATTATTTTCTCAGACATTTGGTGATTATATAACTTGAATGTTTGGTTTTTAATTAATATGATGATTTGAGAGCTCAACAGACAAAAATCACCCCCAGCTACAGTTTCCAAATGTCGCTCCGGTCGTCGCACCGTCACACTGTTTATGGGATTTATTTATTTTATATTTTAATATTCTGGTTTATTTCTTTGTCTCTCTGGCGATGGCCTCGTCTGTTTACATACTGCCAGGTTAGAGTCATCTGACACTGCCAATAAAGCTTTTTCCGTTTCCAATCTAATTTTAGAGATTTCTGGCTGTCGGAGGTTTACTCAGGCTTCAAATAAAACCTCACTTAATAGCTTCAGAGAGTCAGACAACTGGCTCCTAAGTTCAATGCACCAGCCTGTCAGGCAAACAGCCACTTTAACACACACACACTCACACACACATGTTCATTCCTGACTGATATCACAACAACACATGTGGCTTTCTTTACAATCACAAACATTAATGTGTTTGTATCAGTTGTATGTTTGCTGTGGACCTCTTGTTTAGGTTTCAGAATGTTTGTGTAGGTGCTTTATGTTACTGTGTGAGTGTTTGTGAGAATGTTTGTGGCCGTAACTTTATATGTGGATGAAAATCACATCGCTGTAAGTGTATACAATGATTGTGAGTGTGTGTGTGTGTGTGTGTGTGTGTGTGTGAGAGAGAGGGGGGGGGGGGTATAGGGAGGTTGTATGACTGGAAACCTTTTAGTCCCCTTGTCTCTGATTTCAAACAGAGAAAATTGGAGCTGAAAGGTGGTTTTCAACATTAAGGGACCTCGTGTACGTCCACTTCTCTTCGTCCCCTGCTTGCTGTCTCTGCACACCTTCACTTTCACACCCCCTCCTTAACTTTCTAACTCTCTCTCTCTCTCTCGACACGTCTTTAGCCGTTCGCTCGAGCGCCACACACATTTCTTTCATTCGTTTCTGTTCTCCGTCATCCTTTTCCATCCTCTCTGCACTCTCTCATCCTTTTGACACCCAGACGGTAGGCAGTGATTCATGCTTGTAATTATGGGCAAATCATGCTGCTGTACAACAGGTGTGAAATATGTTTTGCACAATGTGTGTCAACTTTCTCTCTGACTCACCTCGGGCCTCTCGTTGCTTCATCAATTTAATCCCTCCCTCCTCTCAAACTAGTCACTGCGCTCTTTCCTTTCTTTGTCATCATACCTTTCTCCTTCCCAAATCTCTCCTCCCAACGCTTTTATCTATTTTCTGCCTCGGGGGGATATAACAGCAACCAATTTACCCCGATTAGCTCTCCTTCTCTCCCTGTATTGCTCCTTTTTTCTTTTTCTTTCATCTATCCATCACAACGGGCCCCACAGGATGACAATTAAATGGTTTAAACATTCGACACGTTTTCAGCGCGGTTCTAGGAAAACAAATTCTGGCCTAAAACAGTCGACACCTTTTTCTTCTGACTCAACTGCTGACATTTGACGCATCAGTATGCACGGGTTGGGCAGAAACCCAATCTGCTCCTTAAAATCTGTTATAATTGCAGTGAGCATTACAAAATGTGGCACTGAAGAAAATGTATTAAATCTATTTATTTAATATTTAGGTTTTTGTCTTCTGTGCCTTTATCCAAACATGTAGAATGAGCAGAAAGAAAGCGAATCATCAGAATACATTGACTCCTTTGATTATGTTACAAATTGCAATGATGACATGGTAACAACAAGTAACTGTCATGACATTTTTAGCCAAACAAGCTCAAGCTCGCTGAAGTTGTACTCATAAATTGACTTGACGGATTGAATGACAGATTGGGAAACCGGCAGTTTGAAATTAAAACAGGAATAGAAATGCTTGTCATCGGAGTGACACGGACAAAACCTGAACAAACAACTGATTGATTTAAAAGGTAAAAGAACTGCCTCGTTAATGGCTGGTGGCTCTTCCACTGTTGACCCTGAGTTGTCGGCTGTATCAAAGCTTTTCCCCAGAATATTCTCTGAAACACTGGTTGGACCACTCCCACATGCTCCCACACACACCTTGAAACCAGTCAACTGGGACAACCCCCGTCAGCCAAGCCCTCTACGATCTCCTCGCCCTCAAAATCCTCATCACCTGTCAGAAGCAATCAGCATCTTTCAGCGACGCCTGAACATTTGGAGCTCATCTGGCCCCTCCACCGTTAGCATCAAAACACCCCGAAATCAACACGACATCTCTGAGTAAACAGCCCTGAAGGAGAAGGACACACACAAGCAACAAGGGTCGCATTCAGACGGAATAAACAGGTTTACCAAAAAAAAAAAGGAGCCTGGGACGCAGACAGAAAATTCTCCTTGGCAAAAATCAACCTAAACTGTTCCAAACATTCATTTCGTGTGCAGCCACATGTTCGGAGATGATTGCCAGACGTGAAAGCCTCTTGTTGTTGTGATTGAGCGCTGACATGTCTAAAAGCATCCTCCACTGGGGCTTAAAACAACCGCTCTTTTGTACCAGTAACGTGAGGTAACTCAAACCCAGGGCCAAGTTGTTGTTATATAACATTACATTGAGCAATATACATTGTAGTCGGCATATAGCCCGACTTCAAGGAGAGCCCTGCAGGCGTATAGGGCTGTGTACCTGGCAGTGGAAGCACACTCCGCAGGGCAGGGTTGAAACCAGAACATTCTCCGTGGGAGGATTGCATTACAGCAACACAGGGGTTCCCTACAACGGCCGACCATGACCTGCCTCTGTGCACTTATGTGTGTGTGAAACATATTTTGGCACACATTCCCATAAGGGGTTTGACATATTATGCACACACGGGGAAGCTCCATTATTCACAACAGATCATAATTTTTAACTACGGTTTATTCGTTGGTTTTAAAGTCAGATCTGGCACTCTGGAGTCTGGCTGCCATCTGCATTGCAGAGCTCAACATGAGGTTCGGGCGCCGGAGCTTCTAAGCTCCTAATAGGTCAAAACTAAACATCAGCGCCGGGTCAGGGTTCAGAGTTGAATTATAGGGTGCAAGGTTGCATTCAGGGGCAAAAAGAGCCGTGTAACACACTTGGCATTTACACTCCAGACGGTGTTTTGGTAAACCAGTGACCCAGTGTCTGTGGGCGTTGTTCTGCCTCCATCCAAGAGGACTAGTATTTCATCTTTTCCAACATGCACCACCACTTGAGTTATTAAACAAGCGCTTAAACAGAATTTGGTTATTGTGGGAAAGCCATGTGCAAGTTAATCTCTCCAGTCTGGTCCAGGAAAAACTGGCTCCAGAGCCAAAAGAGGTTGCACTTAATTGCTCTAACCACTTGAAAGAAGTCTTAAACAGAAAGAAAACACCAGTATCATGCAGAAGATGTTCGAATCCGGCCCAAATTAGATGTGTAATTGTTACGTTTTCCAGTGCAACAGTGCTTAGGATGACTACAGTTAATTGTCATGCCCTACTTTTGGTGAGCCTACATTGTAAGACTATGACATGGTTTAACATTCATTAAGCAATGCAGCCCGATTCTGGAACAAAATGTTGGAACCACAGTGTGTTTCCCAGAACCAAAACAACATGTTGCAGGCTACGTCCTCTCACTCCTCACTCTTTAGTGTTGTCTAGTCACTGTTCAGGACTCCTCTTCTACGACAGAGGACAATTTTAGACGTCATTAGACAGAGAACTGATGTTTCCAGCCATTTTTCATGCTACATGCACGCTCCAGAAAAAGCTAGTAAACCTGATATTCAGCGTAGTTTATCCCAGATTTGCGTTCCCAAGATGAAGAATGTTACTTTTTGTTATCTGTTTCCATTTGTGTTTAATTTAAGTGTCTTTCTGAGAATGTTCATCGTCCGCTGTCTTGTTTTGCATATTTGTTGTCATGTAGCTATCTTGTCAGTGATGGAGCCGGAGGCTCATTGAGGCTCGTTGTGGCTTTGTTGACAGAAAAGACTCATCGGAGCCAAACTCAGAGGACCTGTTTGTCTCTCGCATAGTTATTTAATTATTCTGTGGTACTTTACCTAGTGGCAATTCTGCCTTCTGTCATAATGCTTACCGTAAACATAAACACACCTGTGCCGGACACCAGGGCAAAAAAAACATGCACGCATCGGTGCGAGGGATGGAGCCACAGTGGATGTGGATGTAGACACGCGTTGGAGGGGGGGGGGGGGTAAGGGCGGTGGGTTTGACAGTCTGGGGTCAGGGTTGGTGTTTTGTGTGTGTACAGTTAAGGCCAGATTTATGTGCAGTCTGTACTCAATCAAATGTGCATTCCTTTACTAACTCAACACACACACAGACGGGCACACACACACAGATGCATCCAGATTGTGCACTGGAGATCCATGTATGCACAACCTTATCCTGAATAAATGCGTATAAACAAAAACATTTTCCCATCTCTTGTCCCATGAAATTCCTTCCTCTGGAGTTTGTTCATACAGAATTTAAAATTGATCCTCTTGGCACCGGACAGACACTGGGGTAGCCAAACAACATCAATGATCCAAAAAAACAAAGACGAAAGAAAACAATTAAAAAATCCAATAAAATAGTTGTTTATGCCCAGAAACTCTCTGTGAAACTATGTCTCACTGGTCGTAAACTCAATGTCCTCTATTTACTTCCCCTTCTTAGCTCCGATGTCTTTCTCCCTCTTTACCTTATAAACCAATCCATCCATGCATTCTTTTTTAATCCGTGGATCCAATCGTTTCAAGCTTTATCGCCATGTTTGGTTTCAATTTCGTTGTCCCTTCATCGGTCCCCCTCTCCCCCTAAATCTTCCTGAAACATCAAACCTCCTTTTTAAAGTCTCCTTCCTTTTTCTCCCTAATTACCGTTCCCCTCTCTTCCTTTCACTAATTGGCTCCACTCGTTCCCTCCATCTACATCTTTCACTCCCTTCTTCCCCTTTTTCAGACCTTCGGTTTTTAATTTACCACTTAAAAACCCCCGTGTCCCCAGCTACTCCCTATCTCCCCCGCATGGTTTTTTCCGAAATAATTTCAAAGTCTCTGCTCTGTCACTACGTTTAGCAGAAAGTAGAAAACAAACAACGTAATACTTATAGCTTTGAGGGGGTATAGAGATGAAAATAATAGTCAAATAATTGGCAGTCGACAGAAAATAAAATAACTTATTTTCTGATAATGGCTTCATCGTTTAAGACTATTTGTCAAGTTACATCTTGTCAAGTAAGAGGATTCGCCTATTTGTCTTATTTGATAGTATATTTGAATATATATGAATATATTTGAGTTTTGAAATGTTGGTGGACAAAACAGGGGATTTGAAGATGTCACATTTCGGAAATTGTGTCACTATTTTCTGACATTCTAGAGACCAAAGAACTGATTGGTCAAGTGACAAAGCCATCGGCAGAGTAATTGTTATTAAAAATATTTGTTAAATGTCCTGTTTTTTTTTTAATATGTAAACTATTTGCCCTCGTTTATTGTTAAATGTTCTATTTCATATTTCTCACCTGTTTTACTGATCAATTTATTAAGTGCATCAGTTATGGTGTTTTTAAATGTGCATCTATTTATTGTATCAATATTTTTTCTGTTAAATTGGTGGCATATAGGCTCCTGAGCTACACTTGTGTCTTGGTTTACTATTGTTGTGGCAGTATGTCTTTTTATATGTTGTCTGCTGAGCTGTTTACTTGAGTATCTTTTGTTATCGGTTGCTGTGTGGGAGCGACCAAACTAATTTCCCTTCTGGAGATTACTAATAATGTTATCTGCTCATCATCAATGTAATTTTTGAGTATTTGCTTTGTACTTCAACTAAATTTCCGAGGAAAATAATGTACTTTTTACTATTTGAGAACTGCAGTGAGTTACTTTGCAGATTAAAATGAGCATTTAAAATGATGCATTGTTATAAAACCATTTAAACTTCCCAGGAGTAAAACTTAAATTTCGCTCCATCCTGCTGCCCATTCTTCCCGCATAATGAGTACTTTCAATGCTTTTAGGGTATTTAGCTGATGATACAACATGAATAAATGAGGGACTTGAGAGTATTTTACATTGTGGTATTAAGGATCTGAATTAGGAGAGTTAGGAGAGATATTTTGGGATCTTGAAGGATATAGACAGAGGAGAGAAGGAGGAGGAAGAGAGGATTTGAAAGGAAGGAGGGAGAGAAAAAGGAGTTGGTGGAGGGGAGAGAGAGAGGGAGAGTTTTCTGAAGCGAGGGGCCATGTTAATTTGGGAAAAATGTAAACAGCATGTGTAACTGTTCAAAGCGTGACCGACTCATTTTATATCATTCCCCCTACTCTCTCCTCTCTCTTTCCCTTTGGGTGCTGCTAACTTCTGTCAATCGGGAATCTGCACTGCATTAACCCCTCTACCGCCAGTTCCTCTCCCCTTCTCTCTCCCCTTCTCTCTCCCTCTATTTACTTTTATCTGTCTCTACCTCTCTTTACGCTCTCTCACCCCAACACACACACACACAGCATCCCCCCCCACCTCCACAAATCCTCCTGACATCCATATATATACCATGAAGTATTGAGGATGGTGCTGAGCGAATCAAAAGATGTGAAAGGTTCACTTTTTCTTCTCTTTTCCACATCCCCTGCTCTCTCTCTCTCCTTTCACTCTTCCTTTGTTTCCTCCTTTTGGCGGGTGTGTTTTAGCTCACTGGTCCAACACACACTAACGCTTTTATCTGAAACACACCGACACTAATTCAACCCTCCCAGCAATAAGAGGCCTTGTCTGTGTGTGTCTGCATCTGTGTGTGTGTTAGAGAGAGAAAGACAGAAAAGGTTATGTGTATTTAAAAGGGAAAAACATGTGTATCTGTGTGTGGAAATGTGTTATGTTTATACCTGGTGAGGTGTGTGTGTGTGTGTGTGTGTGTGTGTGTGTGTGTGTGTGTGTGTGTGTGTGTGCAAGGCGGCATGTTCTTCAACAGCTGAGCTCTCTGTGTATTAATTTGCTCTGAGTATCAGAGGGAGCAGCAGTTTGTTCTGCGCTCTTCCCGTCTGTAGGTGGTCACGTCATGTGAACCGGCCGGCCATCAGCAAATTTGGCCTCATGGTGTGACCACCTAGAGGAGAGGGAGGGAGGGGGGAGAGAGGCAGAGGCAAAGATGAACTTGGTGATCTTCAGTTCAGCGCATCATTTCATCACGCAGCCATCCTTCTGTCCTGTCTTTCTTTCACCTCCTTTTCCTTCCTTTCATAGACATGGAGCAGCAGCCGCAGCAGCCGCACCAGTCCCTGGGGGAAAAATTGTGTATATATATGTGTGTGTCTGTCTGTGTATGTGTGTGTAGGTGTGTTTGTATATGTGTGTGTGTGTGTGTGTGTGTGTGTGCACGTGCTCACACCCTGACTAACGTGAATCATGTACTTTCTCATATCACTGACAGCTAACTAGACAGGGGCTTTAGCTGCCTCTGACCTCCTCAACCCCTGTCATTTTTTACTGTGAATGAGAGGCAGCCCCCACCCCCCCCCACCCCCCCTCTCTCTCTCTCTTTAACACATGCACACTTTCTTTCAGTCCTTTTACTCTCTCTCTCTCTCTCTCTCTCTCTCTCTCTCTCTCTCTCTCTCTCTCGCTCTCGCTCTCTTTGTTGTCTGTTAATCTCACTTTCTTCCCTTTAGAATTTTTTGGAGAATTTAAATAAAACAAAATCTCTAAAACTAACAAAAGTTTGCTTCTGTGTTGAACAAGTCTGTTCGATATGCAATTAGTTTTTTGTATATTATTTCTTTGGTAACCTTTGAGATTTACTGATGAGCCCCCAAACCCATCTGCTTCTTCATCTTAAATCTTCTAATGTAAAGAAATGATTTACATCCATATTCAAACTAAGTTGGGCTGCCAAAAACTTAAATGAATAAAACAAGTTTTAAGACTTTTGAATTTATTTTTTCCTGGATAACAAGAGCTTGAAATTACATGTTTAAATGTCAGCTGCACAATGCGCAAATAAACCACAAGATAGGATAACGTTTGTGCAAAAACAGCAATGGCTTAATTGTCTGCATACAGATTTCTTCACAATTTACTAAATTAAATGGATTTGCGAAAAAAATAAATCTCAATATCGAAGAACGACAGGAAAATTGCAAAAATAATAATAATATCGTAATGATTAGAGCAGGACAGATGATGAAAGCACACAAGTGTTTTCTTTCTTTCTTTGTTTAACTCCCATAAAAAAAGTATTTGGATTCCTTACCTCCGCAAAGCATTTTCATTTATCCCAATCCTTTTATTCCGTTCAGTTCGCTCTCACAAGTTCATCCACTGGTGATCTTTTTAAGAGCTGAAATAAACCGATAATAATGTCTCCTTTCCTTTTGTAGATTAGTTCGCTGTCCAGAAACTTTCCATCAATCAGATCTGTTCTTCTTCCTCACACAACTCAGAACTGGAGTGAAAAATGCAGGTGATGTCGGTAATATCGTATCGATTAGAGGAGGAGGTTTAAACGCTGATGCTCCGCTGACTTGCTGTGTGTGGTCTGTGTGACTGACTGAATGACGGTGGAGCCTTTATGTACCTCCGCCTACCTCCTCTTTTTCTCCCCCTTTCTCCTTTTCCTCCCCTTCCTCCCCATCCCCGTCTCTCCTTGTTTCGTTGTCCTCCTCCTCGGTGTTGGTGATTCACCGGTTTGACGCATCACAGCTCAACTTGACAGAGCCGCTGCACCACGGGACTTGTCACAACTCATATCTGTCTCTCTCCGCTCGTCATCCTCCTGAACGCGATCTGACGGCGGCCGTTTGATCTGTAATCCGCTTCCTTTAATAAGGTGCGAGTCTCGCTGGATCAGATCACTGCAGGCCGGGAGGACCCGGCGACCCTTTGACTCTCAAATCATCCTGAAAATCAGGAATTACATTCTTTTTAGCTTATCTCTTTTATTTATCTGGCCGTTTTTATATTCGCCTAATTGTTTTTAATTTTTTCATCAGTAGCCTATATTTGTTCAGGTATTCATGAGTCTTTCTCTAAATACATTTAACAAAAACAATTTTGAGCATTTTGTTTGTCCTAGTCTTTACGCAAAAGAAGGCCCAAAATCTTAAAATAATTTATAGCCATATATGAATAAAAACCTTCAAATATCATGGAATACGAGACAAAAAACTTTACGGTTAAACAATCGGTGTACGATTTCATTGAGCAACCTATAACGTGAAAAGTTGTCGGCAGGAATATTATAAGGACGCAAGGGCCTATAAATTTAGAGGCCTCCCATAAACTTTGTTACGACACAAGTTATCAATGGAGCGAATATACTTAGTCCCCATTAGGAAATATTCCGTCTGTTTTTCTGTCTGTTTCTTAGAAAGGGGGGAGGATGAAGACAAGTGTTTGCCTGCTCCACGGCATTTCTTTCTTCTCCCTTCATTCCTCTGCTTTTAGTTTTTTATTGACACGGGGATTACGGTGATCTTCTTCTCTCGCCTCCAGCTGTCACTCAGCATACCAACAGCACTCACACCGTGGAGCGCGCATGATTGTGTGCGTGCACGAGGTGGGACATTCAGGTAGAAGTCTAACTGATGACAAGTTGTCCTGTGTCCAATTTATTAAATGTTTGTTTTTCTTTCTGTAAGCTGGTTTGGTTTGATTTAATTAAAAATGTTGTTCGGGCTACACAATTTAATTTTACAGTACAATATATCCTGATTTAATATATTGAGGCCCTGTTCTAAAGAGGGTCCATTTATTTATTTCAGTTTTGTGATTTTACTGAATGTCACATTTTCTTAAATTAATTAGTTTAATTAAATGTAATATCTATGTAGGACCTATAAACTGTATAGACTGCACAGAGTGGTTATGGGCCAACCTGTTCAAAAGCTCCTGTCATGTTGTCAGCTGTATTTGATCCAGGGCCTTCCACAGTCTCATTAAGTTTGCTCTATTTCATGCGGTTATAAAATCAAAATAACTATTTAGACTGTGACTTAGTAAATTATGTTATATCCACTTTTCACTATTATTAATACACAATTAGAGATAGGTGACCCCTGCACTGTTGTACTCTGTGTTCTGTACTGTTTTATGTTACAATGATGACATTAACATAAAATAGAATATAAATGTATATACACTACAATACTACTACTACTTCATTATGTGTTGTGTGCCACCCAATGGTGATGAGTGGTCACTGCAGTTTGCTTTATGTCTTCAAACAGGAGTTGCCAGGAGTAAACTCAACATTTAAATTACAAGAAAAGCAGCTGCATTGAAAAACACCTTCGCAGTGTGGATGTTATCAAATGTAAGATTTTAATGACGAAAATATCATTTTTTTCACCAAACCGGAAGTAAATACAAACAGCCCATAACTCCTTCCCGTGACGTAGCGCTAGCTCCCGATGCTACACGCGGGAAACAGGCGAAGCTGCTCATCACATTGACGTAAGACGTGAAGTTTAAAATTGTATTTTATCGCTTGTTTAGGAACTCGTTTTAATATATTGTATGTAACAAGGGACTATATTTCGCCTTCGTGCTTTACGTGCTATTTTGTTCGTTTTGTTTACAAAATGAACTCTGAATATCAGTAGATTTCTGTAACACCGGCCTAGTCCAGCTCGAGCGCTCGATTTGAGGTACGCCGTGTCTCTATTGGGGCGGTGCTTGTAGTCGGTGTCGCCTGTTACTCTGCTCTGAGGAGTCGGTCGAACTCCGTGCAGCAACGTACTAGAAAGGGAGCGCACCGTGTGCAGTTCAAGTTAGCCTAGCTATTGTTAGTGGCGTCGCGTGGACGTTTAGTTGTCGTTTTTATGCAAAAAACGTTGCACCGGATAGTTGAACCTAACGGTTAGTAATCGATAGCCAGCCAGCGTTAACTGCTTTAAATTGAGAGCACAGTAACTGTAGCTAGCATCGCCTGTCAAAGAACACCAAAAGTTAACAAAATTAAGACGATGCTGTGTGTAGTATTGACACCATCACATCTGTATCTCTTCAGTGTGACCATGATCGTTTCACCAATTAAGAAACACAAATTTAAGCAATTACAAATGACCGTTTTAGGGATACATGGGGATGTAATGCTCATAACCTAACAGAGTACAGTGCTTGATGTGAGCCCCGTGGCTGTTTGCTTCTATGTATTTAACTCATTGTTTTGTGTCTGTAGAGGATCAGTCGTCCTGTAGCGGAGATGGGAGACACACTGGAGTTCAGCGACATCTACCAGGAGTTCAAAGGCTCGTGGGTCAGTACCAACCAGCTCTGCTCTCACAGTGTGTGTGTGTGTGTGTGTGTGTGTGTGTGTGTGTGTGTGTGTGTG